ACTAAGCCTGCCTTTTATCAAACTGACTAAATTTACCTTACCTGAACCAAGGTACACACCCTGAAGCTCTCAGTTGAAAAATGCTCTTTACTGATTCAAACTAAAAACCAGTTTACCAAAAAAAGGAGGGGCAGCCAACAGCATTTGGAAAATGTTAAATTTTATTAATGTTATTTCACCATTATAGTTATTGTACATAGGACTATTACTAAAGTCACTTTAGAGAGTGACTGCAAAATAGCCTGCAACTCTAGCACCTCCCATTTTATACAAGATTTCTTTTTCCACAGAATTAATTAGACACATCAGGAAAATTATTTCAGCTAAAAACTGTGAAGGGAAAAACATGTTGTTGAGGTGGTAGAGATATCCTCTTGTAAAATGGTAGATATAGATAGTACTCAAAAGACAGGATTCTTTAAGTTCTGGATTTAATAAGCATAGCCTAAGAGGAAAATAGGGATTTTCAAGATACATTTCTGACCTTTTAAATATGGCACCACGGATGTACCATTACTCAGCACTGCAGGGAATTAAGAATGGATTGAGATTATGTGCTGTTTTAGCTCCCAATTTCATAACAATCACACACACAAAAAAGAATGAATTAATCGGGAGGAGACAGTGTTGAATTGGTAGGTAGCTTGGCAGGGGAGAAGGGAGACCAGTTCTAATAGTCCTTGACTCCAATCGAGCTGTTCCTGTTCCATACCGTCCGACGCGCTGGTCCAGTTCCCTTCACTCAGTGTCACCAAAGGCAGCTTCAAGGCTCGATGGCAAGAGATCATCTATAACCTCTTCACCTTCTGCTGCCTCTTTCTGCTGCCACTGACTGCAATGACCATCTGCTATAGCCGAATTGTCTGCAGTGTGTCCACTCCTCAGACAAGGAAGGGGAACCATGGTGAGACTCCAACCCCCAGGCCCTAACCCATACCCTAAAACTATTGTCTAGCCTCATTAATATGATAGCTATCTATCAAACCAAGGGGCTTGCCCAGTGGCTCAGTGGTAAATAATCTGCCTGCATTGTAGGACATTCGAGTTCAATCCCTGGGTTGGGAAGATCCCCTGGAGAAGGAAATGGCAGCCCATTCCAGTATTCTTGACCGGGAAATCCCATGGACAGAGGAGCCTGGTGGGTTATAGCCTGTGGGGTCACAAAAGAATCAGATACAACTTAGCAACTAACAACAAACTGTATCTCTAGCAGCTAATGCCACACTAATTTCATTGAATGCCTTCAATTCTAACCAGCTACTAGCCATCATTCTCTGAAGTTGAGCTAACTAGGCAAGAATTAAGGAGAAGGATGATCAGTATTCTCCTCTGCTCCTGGACACCAACAAGACTTCAAACAGACTTTGTAGCTTCATGTACCACAGCACCTCAATTGAAACCTTTTTTCCAGCACATCTGTCATAATCCCTGATGGGAAGGGAGCATACAGTCCCAGATTGGGAAGGGGAGGAGGGCTTGCAGCAGTCTCTTATAGAGGGAAGAGCTCTATCTCACAGTTTTTGCCTATCAATTTAGAAGCTGAGTGGTTCTGAATTTGAGTGTATTTTCTAAATTCCCAGCGCCTGCAGGTGAATTTGCCCTCCGCCGCTCCTCAGACAATCACTCCCGTGCTCGTCATTGGGCCCTACAACTGGCCCTACTTGTCCTGCTGACTTTCATCTTCTGCTGGACACCTTATTACCTTCTGGGTCTTTGGTACTGGTTCTCTCCCACCATGCTAACTGAAGTGCCTCCTAGGCTCAGCCACATCCTTTTCCTCTTTGGCCTTCTCAATGCTCCTCTGGATCCTCTCCTCTATGGGGCCTTCACCTTTAGCTGCCGAAGAGGGCATCAAGAACATAGTATAGACTCTTCCAGGGAAGGAGGTTCTGGAAGAGTGCCCCAACAGCAGATTCAAGCTCTTAGACAGATTGAAGTACAAACAAATTTGGCAGTAATAAAGGCAGGAGAGAAAAAAGAGACATTTCTATGATACTGTTTGCTCAGGACAGCCTATATAGGAACAGAAGGATTATTCCTTACTGTCATGAGAACATCTTACTTCTACCCCTGCTCTCTTAGCTTCAAAGAAAAAGAAATACTGAGCAGTGTCTCTACTTGACCCTAGCTGACACTGGAGACTGTATCGAACTAGAAACTCACACAGAATTCAGTCCCTGGGAGAAATATCTCACAGTGACCCATACTGCCTCACTGTAAATAGTACTCCAGAACTTACAATATTAGAAAAGGAAACTAAAGTAATTTTAGAAAACAAAAATTGGACATTTATTCATAATTCAAAAGAAACACTAAACAGGGTAAGAGGTTAAATATAAACACAGTGAGTTCCACCCCAGCCCTATTTCTCAAAGGTTTCACCATTTGCATGGTCAGATGGAATCTCTGCAGAGAACATCTGAACAACAGAGAATGGATCAGCGACGTCTCCGATCTGGACTCCTGCTGCGTCTTCGGCCACCTCTAGAAAAGAAAAGGGGCAGAGTCCATGAGAGGAACATAATACTATGTCCTTATTCTGTTTTGCTCATATTCCTTCCACTAAGATAATGTTTTGCCCTCTGCACTTTACCTCCTCTTGCCCTTGGGTGGACCCCGAACAAAACACCAGTCCACACTGATTGGCTGTCCCATCAAATCCTGGCCATTGAGTCCCTCCATAGCAGCCTGGGCCTCCTTGTATGTTTCATACTCAACTAGAGTATACCCCTGGAACAAGAAAAAGACAGATTATCAAAGCTCCATCAAGCTTTTTTCTACTCAACTAGAAAAATCTATCAACCTTAAACAACAAATGCACATCACATCCCTATTATATATACAACCTGTCTGTTTCTGCCTCTTTGCTCTATCTAACAATCAATTCCCAATCTCATTTTATTTCAAGTCTTGGCCAACCACAGCCAACGTGGGAGAACCACCAATGCTTTCTAAGGGTTATGATGAAGAGAAGCAATAGATTGTGGCTCAGGATACCTTCAGATATCCTGTACGTCTGTCCAGATTGAGGTGGATATTTTTTATTTCTCCATACTCTGCAAATTTATCATGGATGTCTTCTTCCGTGGCTTCCTCATGGACTCCAGTGACAAAGAGAATCCAACCTTCAACAGCTGTAGGGGAAGGGAGGAAAGTTGTCTAAGCGCAAGAAACACTTAAGCAAGATCACAGAAGTAGAGCGTGTGCAGGCTCCACAGAGATCGGTTAAGCGACCTCTGACTCCATTCCTACTGGATTTTATTTCATTGGTCCCTAATTCTCTACAAACAGATCCCTACAGGTTCCATTTACTTACAGCGTTGTGGTCCGGGTTCATCGCCGTCCTGCTCCACGCTGTCATAATCCTCACGCATCCGCGCTCGAGACCCCTCTTCTATTAGAAACACACAGCAGATCACCGGAAATCCCCCTTCACCCACTGTTCACCGTAGGTCTGAATGGGGATTCTAAAACTCGTAGCTCTCTCCATTCGACCCCATTCCACCCACAAACACTCACCGGACCCAAAGCCACGGCCCTTCCGTTTCTTCGCTTTTTCTTTCAGTTTGTGGATGCTCTCTGGAGCCCCAGAAGAGAAGGAATAAGTGAGAAAGGTAACAGTTGTTTACAACAATATTCTCTCTGCAAGACATTTGAAAGCAAACCCCACCACCTCCAGGCTGTCCCTTCCCGGCCCGCCCCTCTTCCTCCCAAAGGGGGCGGAGTCTCCAACCACCAGAACCCGGTTCCCCGGCTCGCATCCTCCCCACTGGGGAGAAAGATTATATTTTCTTAAAACGTCCTTCTCTCGCACCTTCCCCGCTTCCCGCAGCCGCCTCCACTGTCCTCACCGTCCCCATCCTCATCCATGGCGAAATCCTCGCCCCCGGCCTCATGAAGATCAAGTACGTCCGCCATCTTGCCTTCGCTCCAACTCTCGCCCGTGCCGCTCAGGCACTTGGCTCTTCGGGCAACTGTCGCGGAGGGAAAAGGTCATCAATTAAGTTGACCAATTAAAAACTAACACTAGGTCCCGCCCTCGGCGCGGTAAAAATACGCAATGGAGGCGGGCCTAGTTTGGGAAGATACCGGAAGTGTTTCTGTAGCCATCTTGAGCGGGTCAAGAGCTGAGCGCGGCAACCGTGTGCGGCGAGGTAGGGAGTGGGCGGGCCTAGTGAGTTCCTCTTAACCAGAGCTTCAGACAAGACTGAGCACCTAACACTCAGTAACTTAACCAGAGCAGTCAACGAAAAGTAACTACTGACTGAAAAGTGAAAGTGTCAGTCGCTAAGTCGGGTCAGTTCTTTGCGATCCCATGGGCTGTAGCCCGCCAGGCTCCTCTGTCCATGGAGCTCTCCAGGCAAGAATACTGGACGGGGTTGCCATTTCCTTGTGAAGCCCACCCCAATTTTTAATAGCGGATTGCTTTTCGTCTCTTGTCATTCCATACCAGGAAATGGGAGCCAAAGAAAGTTTTTTCTCTAAAAACTTGCAGGCCTATACTGTTCCGAGGAGCAGCCGGATCTGTGATGGAAGCATTAAAAAAAAAATTCAGTCAGCAATGCTACTTCAAAAAGCTGCTTCTGGAACGTACTGTAGCAGCGGCTTTCTCTCAAGAAAATCAGCCGACCTGTTTTCCCGTGAAATACTATTGATGAGACAGATATCAACTTTTCCTTTTTTATTTAATAATGTCTTAGGAAATTACGTGAAGGCTCCACACTTTTACTTCGGGGGCCCCTTTCAGTTCATGGTGGGGGAACTAAAATCCCGCAAACCCAGGGTCACGCACCCGCCCCCCCCCCCCCCCCCCAAATTAAAATAGTCTCTTAAATTCTACCCACCGCTTCTGGGAAGTAAAAAGAAAAAGTCGTGATTTAAAATAAAACAGAGGCTTTAGCTTCTTTGAGGATAGTACAGATATTTCACGTTTAAAAACCCAGGAGTTGAGGCGAAAAAGAACTTTGCTCCCACATCCAACGTAGGCCTTAAACAAACAGTAGTGGATAAGTAGTCACTTATTTATTAATTTTTAAATCAGTTGTGAATGCCTATATGTGTCTAATATTAGAAGAGGTGCTAGCAATACAAGGGGAAATACAGTATCAACAATCACTTTATAATAACATTATGAAAGTGATCATTGCTATTACAAGGTACTACAGCAATACAAGTTTCTAATAGGACTGGAAATAAGGAGAGTGCATTTAAGGGAGGGCTTCCATTTAAACTGTGCTTGTAAGGCTGTTTTGCTTTCCAGGCAAAACAGTTGTATTGAGACTAAGACATATTAATCCATTCTCTACAGCACATAGTATGATCTTTAAAAAAAAAAAAAGTCACATCTCTACTGAAATCTCCCTAACTTATTATTTGCACTTAGAATAAAATTCAGACTCACAGCCTGCTCTGCCTATGTCTCCAGACTGTTTCACCACCATTCTTCCCTCTCACCTATTACTTTACTATACTTTTCTCAATTATGTTTACTCTCTATACTCAACTATGTTGTACACTTTCTTATCTCTGGACATTTTGTAACTTTCTGTCGGTGATGAGCTTCCTCCAGCTTTTCACATGGCTGGTTCAACCCCATCCTGTAGGTCTCCCTGAAATACTGCTGTCACCCAAAGGAGTCTTCTCTATTCTATCCTTCACTCTTATTTCCTTCACAGAACTTAAAATCAAATCTTGAATTACTGTTTACTTTCTAGTTTGTTTACTGTCTGTCTTTCTCATTGGCAGAGATTCTTATTTATAACTATATCCTCAAAGTTCAGACCAGTGCCTGATTCATAGTAGACAATTGCTAAATACATATCCAATGAATATCAGGAGGGCAAGAAATTTTTTATGCCTGATGCTGTCTAATTAGGAAACAAAGTTGGAAATACAGTTTAGGGTCAAACTGTATGTCATGCTAAAAATTTTTAACGTACCCTATAGGCAAGAAATTTTTCTAATTCAATATTTTAGTATTCATAATTTTTAACATTTGCAAGTAGCCACCATAATATTTTTGATTTCTCTTTTTCCTTAAATAGACTGGCATTTTAAATTTACCTGCTGTGCTGTGCTTAGTTGCTTAGTCGTGTCCACCTGTTTGCAACCCCATGGACTGTAGCCCGCCAGGCTCCTCTGTCCATGGAATTCTCCAGGCAAGAGTACTGGAGTGGGTTGCCATGCCCTCCTCCAGGGGATCTTCCCAACCCAAGAATTGAACCTGGGTCTTCCACATTGCAGGTAGGATTCTTTACCATTGAGCTATCAGGGAAGCACCAAACAAATTTATACTGTTTAAATATCACTGCCATCAGTGGAGACCATACTTTTCTATTACAAATTCAGATAAAAGCATAACTAGTAAAAAATGAAAAATATTTGGCCATCTACCACCTAAAATCTTGTCAGATAATGCCAAAGGTTCACATATAAAACTTTGGGAAGTTCTGCTAAAGGTAAAGATAGCTAGATGATAGTTTAAGCAAGGGAGTGGTACAGTGATAAGTATTTTAGAAATAAATCTGATAGTAATGTAGAGGATGTGAAGAATGAAGGCAGAGATAATTAGGAAGCTGTTGCAGTGGTCCAGCCCTGAGATGCTAAAGGAATGAACGAAGACAGTAGATATGTACAAAATAGATTAGGAAGTTTATATAGGGGTAAACTCAACAGTAAGTGATTGATTAGATGATGGCAAAGAGGAAATGCAGGATATCTTTTATTTTTTGAAGGATCTCAAGGAGAATTGAGGTTCTAGCTTAGATTACTGGGCAGTAATTTCAGTAATGGGAGTCAAAGAGGAGCATGTATAGAGAAATGGATTTTATTTTAGATAAGATCAAAGAGCTTGTGTCATTCAGGTGGTAATATGCAATATGTGGAAATACAGATGTAAAAGCTCAAAAGAGGTTGAGGTGGAAGGAACAGGTTTGAGAATTATGTGTTTGATAGAGTTTAAGCCACCGCAGTGGGTGTGACTGCTAGGGGAAAAGGGCAGAACTTGAGGAGAAAGGGTCAAGAACCAAATTCAGGCTCCTCAAATATCTGGAGAAGGGGAAGCATATGCCATCTCCCAGCAATATAATCTTATTTCTTCCACCCTAAAAATACTAAGAAAAGTTCTTTTTTGAACTTTTTAAGAGAAAGGGTCATTTTAGAATTTCTCTGATACATGGGTCTCAAGAAAGAGTCAATATGGCTCACTAGACAAAAATCTATTTTTAATTGTATAAAATTATACATATAAAATACATAGAGAGTACTAAAAAGATAAGTAAAAATTTAACACCCAAAGTGGACATATCAGGGAACAATTTTTCTCAAGTTCTTTGGGATCGTACTGGTTGGTATTTGAGAAAAATAATCAAGGAGATGCAAAGACAAGTTCTTTCCATAACTCACACCCCTTCCCAGAGAAAACAGCAAAGGAGAAATGAGGGTTTGTGATTTCTGGATTATAAACATAAATAAAAACTGAATAGACACACTTATTATTTAAAAGTAAGAAGCCTCTGTTCCAGCCTTACATGTGTTCATGGAAAAGAATACAGAGATAGGGCTTGGAGAATTCAAGGAAATCCCTTTCAAGTACTAATACAATTGTTGTTAAAGATTCCTTACCTCTGATCCCATATATACTGGTCACTAAGATAATTTCAAAAGCAAGAAAGCTGACTTTCATCTTTTCCCTATCTGATCCAAATGTGCAAATTGTAGCCTGTTTCCTAACCTATTTCTAAAAGCAAAGTGTATAATTGTTAAATGGAAAGTGTAATTGCAGGAATATTAAATTTCCCAAACTCAGTTTAGGAAGTGCACTGAGCTATAATACAGTATAAGGTGATTACAGAAACAAGAAGAAAATATATCTTAGAGAAATGTACAAAAAATTCTCCCAAAGGAGAATGCTTTAGCTATACTCCAGATCATCTTTCTCCTGTTTTACCCAGGGAAGAGGTAGGGGAAGAGAATAGTATTCATATTAAAAACATAAGTAGCTGATCACTGATTCTCTTTCCCCTCCTGGAGTTTCTCATGGTTCCCATTAGGAAGTGCCATAATGCCAAAGTATCTTCTAATTTTCCTGATCAGCTCATGCTCTAATAATCATTTTGGAGGAAGAGGAAAGAAAAGAAGAACACCAATGTGAATCTAGTTATATACATTTAAGGTCATAAACAGTAGCCACTTCATGGGAGTAGGAGGAGCATAGCCCTCACCAAATTGGACAGATGTTTCCAAAAACCAAAATGATGGGAGGAGGTTTTTAAGAAAGGGAAATATGTTTTACCTTCTACCAATCTTTGCAGCAGGAAGATCTATAGACAGGGCTTAACTGAGCTTGGTGAGCAGGGAGGAGGAGTGAAAAGAGAATATTGAAAGATAAGTAACTTCAACCCTTACCCCTTCAATATATTCTGGTATGGTATGGTATCTATGCCCCAGAAGCAACACAGGTGATAAACCCCTGCAGGCTGTGTTTATAATTCCTCTCTTGTTCCTGGGAAGTTTCTCAGCGATGATTTTAAAATTAAGAAACCACCAGCTCTCCACTTCCTTTCAAATAATAAAGTGAGGAAGCCCTAAAATAAAGTACCGTTTGTAGGCAGAAGAGGAGTAAGGTGGTAGTGTGTGGTGTAGGTTATGAAGTAACCTAGTTACTGAGGGAACAACTTGGTACCAAGTAGGCCCAGCTCAAGATAAAACCAAAGCCAAAAAAAAAAAAAAAACAAAGCCAAGTTTTCATTTTCATGCTCTGTTTGGTCCAAGAGAAAGCAGGAATGAGGATAAGGGTGGGGCTCACAGTCCTTATTCAAGCTCCTTGTTATTTTAAAAGGAGACATGAACATCTAGTAAGTCATTTTGTGCTATTGAAATGACTACACAGTTACTGGCAGGATAAGAGCCCACAAAGCTCTGAAGACAGCCTGCTCTTGTAAAGCAGTGTGGATATGTTTCAAAAGCAACTACATCCAAAAACTAGAAGTAAGAAAAGGGATATCTCAACAAATAGGAATCTAGGTGTAGAATTTATACATACACATATATATATATCTATATTTTAAAGTATAAAATTGAGAAAGTATGTACAGAAATCACACTAAGTCTTAGAAAGGACATACAAAAAATGGGCCTGGAGATGATGTGAGTATGTGGGTAGATGCCTAGCAGTTGGAGGAATGCATATTGCCCAACTGCCCAGCAGCCAGCATGAGAATATCTTTCTTCTCCTTGTGGAAGCGCAGCTCCTTGCCTGCCAGCCGGGCTTCATCCAGCTCCCGCTCAGTAGAGGCCAGCTCTCTAGACAGTGCCCCTGGCACACTCTGCTCCCGGCTCACCCAGTCCAATGCCATTTGGTGGCGAATATCATCATCTAGGGCTCGGTGTGAATAATGAGCCAACACTTCCTGGAGGGGGAAAGGAATGTGAAAGTCACGGACAAAGTAAAGGTTCATTCCTCATTAACCCAACCGGGACTAGGAACTCTCAGCCTTTGAGTCTTAACCAAAGTCAGCACTGGAGTCCTCTGAGGAGAGTCTTATGGGAAAACCTCCTGGTGGGAGAAGCAAGGCAGGTAAAAGAATCACAGTTAAGATTATAGGAATGAAGTGGGCACTTTACGTAAGACTTTCAAGACTCACAACCTGGTTCAGTTCAGTCACTCAGTCATGTCTGACTCTTTGCGACCCCATGAATCACAGCACGCCAGGCCTCCCTGTCCATCACAAACTCCCGGAGTTTACTCAAACTCATGCTCATCGAGTCGGTGATGCCATCCAGCCATCTTATCCTCTGTCGTCCCCTTTTCCTCCTGCCCCCAATCCCTCCCAGCATCAGGATCTTTTTCAATGAGTCAACTCTTCACATCAGGTGGCCAAAGTACTGGAGTTTCATCTTCAGCATCAGTCCTTCCAATGAACACCCAGGACTTATCTCCTTCAGGATGGACTGGTTGGATCTCCTTGCAGTCCAAGGGATGCTCAAGAGTCTTCTCCAACACCACAGTTCAAAAGCATCAATTTTTCGGCGCTCAGCTTTCTTCACAGTCCAACTCTCACATCCATACATGACCAATGGAAAAACCATAGCCTTGACCAGACGGACCTTTGTTGGCAAAGTAATGTCTCTGCTTTTTAATATGCTATCTAGGTTGGTCATAACTTTCCTTCCAAGGAGTAAGCGTCTTTTAATTTCATGGCTGCAGTCACCATCTGCAGTGATTTTGGAGCCCCCAAAAATAAAGTCTGACACTGTTTCCACTGTCTCCCCATCTATTTCCCATGAGGTGATGGGACCAGATGCCATGATCTTAGTTTTCTGAATGTTGAGCTTTAAGCCAACTTTTTCACTCTCCTCTTTCACTTTCATCAAGAGGCTTTTTACCACAACCTGGTAGACCTGCTTATTTATAACACAACAGCCACCTCAAAACAGCCCTTCTGCCAGACTCCCCTCATCCACGAGAACTCTTACCTGCCGAGAGCACTGTCTTTCCCTCATGGCCTTAAGGCTGCCATTCCAGTGCAGCAGTTGAAAAACTGTCATTAACTCCTGAAGGAAGAAAATATGAAGTGCCAGGACAGTGGTATATGGAGGTTGCATAAGAATTAAATATGGGGGGGAAGTACTTCCCTGGTGGTCCAGTGGTTAAGAATCTGCCTTGCAATGCAAGGGGATGCAGGTTCGATCCCTGGTCAGGGAACTAAGATCCCACATACCACAGAGCAACTAAGCCTGCTTGCCACATCTAGAGAGTCCATGCACCCCAACAAGAGATCCTGAGGTGCCCAAATACACAATTAAATGTTGTTTCTTAATAATTAAATGGGGAAACTTTCACAAAATTTATTTGTGGGAGCATGCCTTATACCAACTCTGATATGTCCTTGGGGCCTTGGGGGAAGGAAGATATTTATATTTTGACAAATATTCTATAACCTTTTCTCCCTTTCCAACTGAGTCTTAGTACGAGGTATGTGTGTATGTATGTGTCTGTGTGTGTGTATACAGTCTGATCCATGTTATTAGAGCCAGGGAAGTAGGTGGAATAGTATAGTACCTGAAACTCCAACATTGACTTGCCCTTGTTGGATTCCAACATGAATCGAAAAGCACCAATCCCTGTATTTGGGTTGTCAGCTTCCTCCCTGTTGCCCTGGTAAAAGAGGAAAGGAAAAGACAACAGATTTTCAGTCAGGATTATCACCTCGAGCAGCACTGTCTAGGAGAAATATAATGCAAGTCACATGTTTAATTTAGTTGTCATATTACAGTAAAAACAAACTATTAATTTTAATAGCATATTTTATTTAACCTAATATACTTAAAATATTATTTCAACTATAATTAGTGTAAAACTTATTAATGAAGCATTATTTTTCTTATACTAAGTTTTCAAAATCTGGTGTCTGTTTCATCTTACAGCATATCTCGATTCAAGTGCTCAATAGCTACATGTGGCTAGTGGCTATTCTGCTGCTCAGCACAATCCAGAGACCTCTGGAGCCATCACACATTTTAACTTAGTATAAATGATAGAGATAAGTCAAGTGATAGAGATAAGTCAATCTGATTTTTCCTATTTTACAAAAGGGGAGAGCACTGAAACATAGAGGAGAGTCTTGATTTAGCTAAAATAACAGAGTGAGTTCAGCATATAAGACAGGACTAACCTACAGGACAATTAGCAAATGCATTTTAAAGAGTGACTGTAAAAGTCATAAGCATGGCAAATTCTGGGTAGCAGTTTGGCCTCCTGGACATTTGCCTTGTGTGTCTTCCACTGGTGACATGACCCTGCCAGGGTCGAGTTAAGATACACTGTCCTACCTGTAAGCCTAAGTGTATGAAAAACAATACAGTATAGAAGTTAAGAACATGGACTGGACTACTCTTATGGTCTTGGTGGAGTCATTTAACCTCTCTGTTCCCCAGCTACCTTATTTGTAAAGTGAGAATAATCATAGATCTATCTTACAGTATTATTTTAAGGACTAAAGATATTCTTTTAAAAATTTAAATTTAAAAAAGATAAATTTAGTCTAACAACTCCAAGCATATAATGTAAGTACATTATCATATTGGACCTGGTATCCAGTTCCACAATCCAAATCCATTCTGGTACTGGCTCTGGTTTGTGCCATTTGGATGTTGGTTTCATATTATTGAAGATAATTCTAGGTCCAGGGTCTTGCGGGGACTTCTGAAATGAGGACATCTGGTTTACTAGTGATCCTTTTTGTCAACCTGATCTAGAAACATTAGGCCAGGAAACTAAGGAACACAGGGATCCAACTTTCTCCTCTTGCTTCCTAAGAGGTTTCCTGCTCTTTCTAGCCAGTTCCACACACCCCCCCCCCCCAAACTCCCAAGATATGAAATTTATTCTGCTCTTTTTGAGCAAAGGGATCAGGTAGAGGTCAGGAGCCAATCAAGTTATATCCAAATTCAGTTTATTGTGGGATACTTTATCATGGGGTTTTACTGTATATGTATCACACCTTAAATAATGTCAGGCACTTGGTAAGCATACCATGCTAGTTTATTATCATTCTTTGCCTTCACTGTGCTAGAATCAACAAGAAGTCAGAACTACTCAAAATCAACCCAGTTTGTTTTGTGGCTCGTGAGAAATAATCATGCCATGCGTGGTTAAATCTTTGTGGTGAAACAAAGATCATAAAATTTGGATCTAGAAGTGAAAATCTAGAGGATGGGAGGGAAAAGGTGGTGATTTTCATTATTAGGATTTAGGGCTCTGAAGCAAGCAAGAGTCTTCATTCCTATCTAGAATTGTCCACTGCGATACCTCCATGATACAGCACAGCAGAGGCTGCAGGGCAGAGGAGTCCATCTGCCCCACACCTTTCTCAGTTCCCCTGAGAGTTGAGGGGATCAGTATCATGGCACATCTGTAAACTATCTGGAGTATACCAAACGGCACAACCCAACATTGGCAAGTTCCATCTCACGGGATACTTCTACACCTAACAAGGTTATAAATGAACTCTATTTATTCAATAGACATTTAATCACAGAATACTTGATTAGTGATAGGAACAGTAGAATATAATTGGAAAGGAATTAGAATTAATTTAATTTAACCTACTTATTTTACAAATGAGGAAATTCAGAACCACAGAGGCTAGGTTATTTGTCAGAAGACAGAATACAGTGTCAGATTCAGGACTTTTAAAGGACAAAAGTTAAAAGCAAAAAATGTGGACATCACTCTTTACCCATGGCTAAGACCAAATGAAAATCATTTTTTTTTTTGGAGAAGGGGAATTCCACTGGGGTACTAATGAGAAATCCACCAAGTTCTCAATTTGAGAGGTTAATCAAAAAAGAATAGTGGCATGAGAAGAATAATAGTTTACATTTCTTAAACACTTTCTAACAAACACTGCAGGTGACCTACCCAATGTCTATTTACTTCTTCCATACGACAGGACCTACTCATCTCCCAATTACCTCAGGGAAGAATGATTTTATCCTAACTCCAAGTGGGTAAATCCTAATCTCTTTTGCCTGTAACTGATTTTAAGGTGAGAATTCTGGGCATGGGTGGTAGAGGAAAGGTCTGCTGGAGAGCTTTTGGGAAAAGAGTCCTTACTACTAAGGAGATACTAGAAAAGATGGTCTCTTTCTCTCTCTGAGTGTCATTTTCTCTGTATTTAACAATTGGAACTCTGTCTCTATCTTGTATCCTGAGGGGAGTCAGCCCAAGGGCAAAGCCAATATCTAGAGGATAGCTGAGTGGAGAGATGGAAAGAGTTTTGGCCAGTAGATGACGATACTCTTTTCTTTTTTTTTCTCCAGGTTAAAAGTGCTTTAATGCTTCCCGTGGCTCAGTGCTAAAGAATCTGCCTCCCAGTACAGGAGACACAGGTTTGATCCCTGATTCGGGAGGATCCCACATGCCACAGAGCAACTAAGCACCACAACTATTGAGACTGTGCTCTAGAGCCTGGGGGCTGCAACTACTGAAGCCCAGCACTCCCTAGAGACTATACTCTGCAAAAAGAGAAACCACCCCAGTGGGAAGCCCACATACCGTAATTAGAGAGTAGCCCCCACTCACCGCAACTAGAGAAAAGCCTGTGTAGCAACAAATAGCCAGCACAGCCAAAAGTAAATAAATAAGTAAATAAAAATTGTTTTAAAGCTTGCTTTGGACTTCCCTGGTGGTCCGGTGGTTGAGAATCTGCTAGCCAATGCAGGGGGCTCAGTTGGATCACTGGTCCAGGAAGATCCCACATGCCAAGAAGCAACTAAGCCTGTGCTCCACAACCACTGAGGCCCACATGCTCCAGGGCTTACATACCGTAACTACTGAGCTAACCGGCCAAGAGCCCACGCACCACAACTAGAGAGTAGCCCACACTCGCCACAACTAGAGAAAGCCTGGGCACAACAATGAAGACCTAGTACAGACAAAAAAAACAGTCTGCTTCGTTCAGATCTGGTGACTAGACTCCCAGACAGCTGATTTTGCAGGAAATTTTGCACCTGAGTGTCTCCCCACTTCACCATCCCAAGAGTGTGCTCCTGCAGATAGGACGACAGAACCCATCCTTTATGTTAAAATGGGACTGGTCTTCAGGCTTGAAGTCCAGGTTGGAGCTACTGTCCTAAATGATGACATTCTTAACCCATGGAATCATCCAGTCCTGAAATCTGCCCTACTTCTAGACTTCTTATCATGTTAGGTAATACATTTCCTTCCTTTATTTATTAAATCAACTTGAAGTGAGATTTTCTATTATTTGCATCCAAAGGTACCTAAACAGATAACATGTGCTAAATGCTGGAACATAATCTCTTTTATCCAATAATCCTATGTGATAGGCATAACTGTTATCCTATTTTACAGATTAGGAAACTGGAAAAGACTAACTTGTTCAAAGTTACATAACAAGTAGAACCAAAATTTCAAAATAAATTCAGAGCCCATGCTCATAAACACTGCTTTCTATAATCCAAACTGATGTTTCATTTTATAATATCGATACATTAGATGATTTAGGACTGAAAAATGTGCTTTTGAAATTTTAACTGATTTGATTAATATAAAATGTTTTGTTACCTGCAGACACTGCTTGACAAGGGCAAAGACTAATAGGAGAAAAACAGATGGGTCCTAGGTAACAGAAGGATTATGAGTCAAAGTGTTCAACACTAATCAACAAAACAGATAACTGAAGCAGTTTAGTATATGTAATTACATCTTAAATGTAAAGAAAACAGAAACAGAAAATTAACCTGACTTTATCTTCCTATCAATGGTCTTTTGAGAGGAAGGATGAAGGCAGTGCTAATTTTTAAGATGTACCTCTAAGCTAGAAAATTTGTAAGCTGACTTGGGTTCTAGTCTTGGTTCTACCATCTACAAGCTATATTACTTTAGGCAAAACTTCCTTCTATGTTTTTAATTTCCTCATCTGTAAAAGAGGGGTATCAATAGTACTTATACCTCATAGGGAGGGCTTCCCTCATAGCTCAGTTGGTAAAGAATCTGCCTGTAATGCAGGAGATCCATGTTCATTTCCTGGGTTGGGAAGATCCCCTGGGAGAAGGAAATGGCAACCCACTCCAGTATTCTTGACTGGAGAATCCAGTGGGCAGAGGACCCTGGCAGGCTGCAGTGCACGGGGTCGCAAGAGTCGGACTCGAATTAGCAACTAAACCACCATCACCACCACACCTCATAGGACTGTTGTGAAGATGAAATGAGATAAACTACGTATAAATCCCCTAGAATAGTCCCTGGTACAAAATAAATACATAGTTAGGATTAGCTATGGTTATCATCATTATCATTATCATCTGAAAGAAGAGATGTTCTTTTTAAAGAGAGTAAATAAATTATCCTCCACATTCCTAGGAACATGAAAAGACAAGACACTTATATTGTAACATGTTCTTTATTAATAAGATGAAGTAATGGAGGCAGGAAACAAGTGACAATAGAAACAGTCGTATAAAAAAAGAGCGAAGGAAAAAGGGAGTAAGGTCTTAAACCAAAATTGGGAAAAGCAAAATTCCAGTTCAATTTTTATTCTATAATATCTCTAAAAGTCCATAAATCTTGAAATAAAGATTTCTAGATACCAGAGGCATAATGAAAGAGACAAAATAACAAAAACATACATAGATTTAGAGACTGAAGCATTTGGAACATGTAATACAAAAGACTGACAGAAAATAAACAGAACAGAATGCAGACAGGAAAGAAAACCAAGAATTCATGCTCTGTTTCCCAGTAATACACAAGATTTCACAATCAGCCAGTTCTCCCATCCCCCACTCTCCTCCTTTCCAACTCCAAGTAACTTACATTGAAAGATGCCAGGGCCTCAGAGACACTCTTCTCAATGAACTCATCAGTGATTCTTCGGGAAGGATGTTCATTAAACACAGAGTTCATTAGTGCAATCTTTGCAGCACTCCGCCGGGCTTCAGCTTTTGTGGGGCAAAACTAGGCAGTAAACAGAGAAAATATGTGTATATGTGTATCTGAGAGAGAGGAAGAAAGAAGTGGAAGGAAACACTTGGCATGGACAACACTTGGATACTCTGGAAAACTCAGTTTGTTCTACATGTCCTCCAAAGTTTTCATTGTAAAATGGTCAGGGCACTTGGAAACACGAGTTTGAGTCCACATCCTGGAGTCATTAAGAAAGTGGAGACAGCTGTAGCTCGGACCAAACTGAAGGCAGGGTGGAGGAGACCGCTGACGTCAGCAGGCAATCACTGGACACAAAAGGTACCTCTGTTTAAACTGTCAGCAGAATTAATTACTCAAAAGCCAGATTCTGGCCAGTCTGTTAGAAATCTGGATCTTGTTCTTTTACTCTGTAGACAGGCAAGATTTTTTTTATCCCCCTATATAACCTAAGATTAGAACAAAGCTGTATCTAGGTTACTTCTGCAGAGGAGCCCTCTAGTCTCTATCCGAAGCACCCATTTGGGATTCTTGGACTTTACCCTTAGCTATGTGCAGGCAGTTTCCCCACTAACGCAGTGAGCCAGGGAACTATCCGTGAATGGAGTCTAAGATCTGAGGAGGGATTTTATAGTCTTTCCCCCACCCCCTCCCAGCAGAGGCAAAGAGAAGAGAGGTAGCTAGGGAAAGGAAAGCTGACTTGAGGAAAACAATAAAAACTTAAAAATTAACTCATTTTTTATATTGTATCCAACATACGTATCAAAAAGAAAGTCTGATTTTCAAAAGTCTTGAATCACTCAACTTCAGATCCCTAGCCACCTTTAAAATTCATTTTTACTGGCTGTTTCAAAGGCCTCTATGCCCTTTGTCATTTATGATTAGGATAAGAGAAAAGAAAGAACGTGATGTAATTTTAAAAAGTACACCAGATTATGTTTGCTACTTAACCATTCTTAATTTCAGTAATTCCCAATTTCCTTTAGCTGACAGGTCTCTCTGAGACAACATATGGAGTTTGGTACATTAATCCTACATCTTCCTGCTTATTTAGTTTCTGTTTCCACTTCTCTCGCTATTTATTAGCCTGTTGCCCATTCTACTGTATGGTGCTCTTTCTGAAAAATCATATGAAGAAAACCACCAGGAGAAATCTCACCTGCCAAAGTGGATATAAAAGATATAAGCTAAAAGAGGCCAAGAGAGATAATTCTACTCTTTCAGGAAATAATAGAAACTGAGTTACTATAATGGCCCAGTTTGGGGCATCCTGGAGAAGGGAAAGGCTACCCACTCCAGTATTCTGCCCTGGAGAATTCCATGGACTGTATAGTCCATGGGGTCTCAAAGAGTTGGACACAACTGAGCGACTTCCACTCACTTGGGGCATCACCATAAGATTACTACATCTTTATTCAACGGTATGATGAGGTAGGAGAAGGAAGGAAAGATCTTATTTTCTAGAAGCAAAAGATAAACATTAGTTACCTTGGGCACATATTTATTTCTCTGAAATGGCTGGGGTTCTGAGAGAAACATTTAGTCACCCGATTTGAAATGAAGCTCCCTTTGGACAGTTTCTATTTGAGACTGCAACTGAGCTACAATGGCACTCATTCGTGCAACAGATTTATTAAATGTCTATTCTGTGCTGGGCACTGAGTTGGACGGTAGAGATTTAAAACTGAATAAGAAAGAAGACTGACACTATCTCTGCCACCATAGAGCATAGTCCACTAGGAGAGAGAAACACTCAATAACGATATGTTGTGGTAAGTGATTTGATACTGGAAGTTCAAGGTGCTATGGAAGCACACAGCGGAGGGTATAACTTTGTCTAAGGGTTATTCAAGCCACACAGAAAACAGAACAAAAGTGTCTAGTTTAGTTCAGTTCAGTCGCCCAGTTGTGTCCGACTTTCACGACCCCATGAACCGCAGCACGCCAGGCCTCCCTGTCCATCACCAACTCCTGGAGTCCACCCAAACCCATGTCCATCGAGTTGGTGATGCCATCCAACCATCTCATCCTCTGTCGTCCACTTCTCCTCCTGCCCTCAATCTTTCCCAGAATCAGGGTCTTTTCAAGTGAGTCAGTTCTTTGCATCAGATGGCCAAAGTACTGGAGTTTCAGCTTTAACATCAGTCCTTCCAATGAACACCCAGGACTGATCTCCTTTAGTATGAACTGGTTGGATCTCCTTGCAGTGTCTAGTCTCCTCCCTAAATTCCTATTCAGGCTCTAAGTTGACATTTCAGGAAGCTACTCTCCTGTCTGCAATGTGAAAAATTCATCTTTGTAGACAATATTCACACTGGTCAAATTTCTTGTTACTCTACAATAGTATCAACTCTTTTCATCATCATACACAAGTCTTTTATGTAACTGTAGAATGGCAGTACCAGAAATACTGGCTAGAAATAATCTACTCTGTCTCCTTCATGTTATAAATGGAGAAACCGAGGCCCATAGAAATTACTTGACTTGCCCTGCTGGCAGTCAGGGGAATGAGAATTTGGATCTGCTAACTCTTAGATGAGTACTATTTCCACCATACATAGTCCTTCTCCTTTGATTTCTTAGAGAACTCAAACACTGCTTTCCTTGGCCATAGCCTATGAAAAAGTAGTGTGGGCAATGGATATTAACCTATGTCCTCAAAAAGAGACAGCAGGAAACTGGAAAGCCAGATCAGAACATGAGTTAGGTACTAGTAGTTTGCTTTTCTTTCAGCTTTCAAAAACTCAAACTCATCTGACAGAAAACAACAAAATTATGTAAAGCAATTATCTTTCAATTAAAAAATAAATAAATAAATAAAACTCAAACCCACTGGAGGAGGGCATGACAACCCATTCCAGTATTCTTATCTGGAGAATCTCATGAACAGCAGCGCTTGGCAGGCTCCATTAGATCTCAAAGAGTCAGGCACGACTCAAGTGACTTAGCACACACACTAAAAAGAAAAGCATGCTACAAAGGTTGTTTTCTGGTCAAATGAGCCTCAGATGCTTATTAGAATAATTTACCCAGAACTGGTCCAAGTCTTCAAACAGGTAACTTGGGACAGAGATTTAATGACCAAAGTGATAGAGAAAGAAAGCCACTACTAGCACCTACGCTTTATCTCTGCTGCATTTGCCTCCCGGCTCTTACCTGGAAACTCCCAAAGCAACTTCCCCCAGGCAGGGTGACGTAGCAGACATAGGGAGGACTGCTGGCGGGAACCATCTCGTAAACCACTAGGGCCCCATTCTTCAAGTCAGCCCCTCGTGACTGTTTCATCTGCCAGAATTCCTGAAGTGCCTCCACCACATTCACTATGAAAAGAGAAGTAGTTAAGTTCAGCAATAAGAATGCTTCCAAATGGTGCTCTGCTTCAATACACTATCTGTAACCTGTACTTACACGAAGTGACTACCCCCTCTAAGATCCCCACCTATCACCATTTAGAAGCATTTAAACCCATGTCCACCGAGTTGGTGATGCCATCCAACCATCTCATCCTCTGTCGTCCCCTTCTCCTCCTGCCTTCAATCTTTCCCAGCATCAGGGTCTTTTCCAATGAGTTGGCTCTTCACATTAGGTGGCCAAAGTATTGGAGCTTCAGCTTCAGCATCAGTCCTTCCAATGAATATTCAGGGTCAATTTCCTTCAGGATTGACTGGTTTGGTCTCCTTGCTGTCAGAGGACTTTCAGGAGTCTTCTCCAGCACCACAGTTCAAAGGCATCAATTCTTTGGCGTTCTGCCTTCTTTACGGTCCAGCTCTCACATACAGTAATTAGTTGTAAATAGGGTAAAATCAAACTCCAGACTTGACACTGTATTCCAGGACAGTTCCCTGCATCCCCTAATACCTAGATTCAATTATTCCACAAAAATTATCGAGTACCTACTGTGTGCTAGACTGTGTGCTGGTGCTAGGCTACAATCATGAGCAAAACCCTGTTCCTTTTCCCTTGCAGCTTACAGTCTAAACAGGGAGAGAGAGATTAACCAAATAATCTCAAACAAATTAAAAACTACAACTGAGATAAATGCTATAAAGGAGTGGTAAACGGTGGGAAATGTAGGAACATGTGACCTAATTAAGAAGGTCCAAGAAAACTACCCTGACAAGGTAATATTTAAGCTAGGATATAAGTATCACTAGGTAAAAAGGTGAGAGAAAAGTGCTCTGAACAGAAGAAATAGCATGGACAATGGCTCTGTAGCAGCAGGAAGTACAATGAATAAGGGGACTAGTGTGGCCAGAAAAGAGACAGTGCGGGGTAATATAATGCAAGATGAGGTTGCAAGAAAAAAAAAAAAAGCCAGGGCTAGATCAGGTCAGATGTGATGGGTCATGTTAGAATACTGGCTTTATCCTGGAACAATGGGAAGCTACTGAAAGGTTTTTAAATGGACGGTGGGATAAAATCAGTTTGCCTTTGGAAAGGATCTCTTTGACTCTAGGGTTCCAAAATTTCAAGTGGCTTTAACTAAAAGCCTCATAACAATAAATTATCATACACATTCACCAATATCTTCCATGACCACTCTCTACCCTTTGTTACAACAAGGACTTGTTAATTCTACTATATTATGTGAGTTAAGGTCTGACAAGGAGAAGACACCAAGATGGGTCAGACATCCAAGAGATTTGTTGGGGAGGAAAAAGGAGAAGGGAGAGTTTTCAGACCAGGTTCAAGGTCTGAAACCTGTGGAAGGAGAGAGGGAAGGCAGGAAGTGTGGATATGAGAGTCTCAGACTGTAGCACAGTTCCAAGAAAGGTTTGGCCAGGTACTCAAACCAAAGGAATCACACATCTTAGGATGTCCCCTGCTGCTCTCAGTCACAGACAGCAGCCTGCAGGCGGTATGGCCTCAATGCAAACATGGTGATGAGCTCAGAGGGGACAGCAGTTTAAGACTGTCAGTCAGTTATGCTCCCTGCCGCACCAGATATGAACCAGCACAGTTTCATGGCTGCCACATACACACTAAGCAAAATGTTGAGCACTCAATAGGTGCACAGCTCTGTTCCAGACATTAGAGATGCCAAGACGAGTAACATAGATTTCCTGCCAGGAAGGTGTTCAAAATATAGTGGACAAGAATAACTCAGCTGCTCTGCAACTGAAGCAAGCACACCATGTACCAACCAGGGTTTGAAAAGCAGCATAAGCTCTTAACTAATACCCTATATTTAACTGACTTTTAAAAATGTTCATTCTTCCATTAAAAGACAGCATGAAAAGAAAACTTTCTCTTTCCCACCCTTAGTTTTAGCAGGGACTCTTCAGAGGTCATTGCTGCCTAGAAAGCTTAGCCACCTTAGTTCTTTTCATTGAGATCTTTTCAGGCTCAGTTCCCTCTTTGAGGCAATCTAGCACAACGTGTTGAGTGACAGGTCCCCTGACATGCAAACAACAAGGAGAATATTGAAATAAAGAGGAAGGGGAGAAGACTGCTATAATGGGGAAGGTCCTATTAAAACGCATATGACCATTCTATATCCAGTTAAATCCCTTTTGGCACAGACCATAGGACTTTTTAAAAATTTTTTTAGGACTCTTTTTAATGATTACTCAAAGCCAAATGAAATAGGGAGTCTTATTTCAGAAATGTGAGTATGAAATGAGAAATTGGGCAAATGATCAGGGAAAAAGGCAATGAATTGTGATCTGCGTTTGAAAATGCTCATAAGTGTTAGTCGCTCAGTTGTGTCCAGCCCTTTGCAATCCCATGGACTGTAGCCCACCAGGCTCCTCTGTCCATGAAGTTCTCCAGGCAAGAATGTTGAATCTTCTCTCCCATTTCCTTCTCTAGGGCATCTTCCCTGGCTAGGGATCAAACCTGGGTCTCCCGCATTGCAGGCAGATTCTTTACGTCTGAACCACCAGGGAAGCCCATGAAGCTCATTCATTTCTAGAGCTAAAAGGGACTTCAGAGATTATCTAGTTTATCTCAGGCTAAGGAAGGGTAAGTGACTTGGTTGAGGTCACATAGCTGGAGCAGAACCTGATGCCAATGTTTTTTCCAACTTGGGAATCTTAACCCAGGGTCCAAAGTCCAGTCCATGGTTGAACTTCATAGGGGTTCACAAGACCTTTAAAACTCTAAGTAAAATTAAGCATGTCTCTTGTGTGTGTGTGCATATGAGTATTTGTGTGTGTGTGCATGTGCATGTGTAGGAGAATGCTCATAGCTTTTATCGGAGGATTTTCAGTGACAAACCATGGATATAATGGTTTCCATAAGGATGGCTAAAGGACAGTGAGGTAGAAGGGTAGCAATTACTGAGACATACACATCTGGCAGCTACAATTGGTTTCTGGAGGTAACTGATATATTCTGGGCTGAAAGGGACAGGAAAGACCAAGGTAGTGAAGAACATTTAAGTGCTTGTACCATAATTTTGAACAACAACATGAAAGAGAATACTTTCAGTTTTTCCCTTAGGAGATAAAGTATTAGATGAATGTCTAAGTGGTAAGAGAGACAGAGTGCACATACACCAGAGTAAAAATACTAAAACAACACATGAAACTATAATAAAAAATTTTATAAAAATAAACAATTTTATAGTGGGGCAGCATGGATAAATATATAATGAAATTAAGTGAGTGAGAAGGTTCTCTCTGATCATACAATATGGTAAAAATAGTGTGGCTTGGCTTAATTCATGTTACTATGAAGATAGGGAAACTGGTTAACAATATTTCACCTGACTTTTCCTAATTCAGTTTGTAGAAGGTACCCCTGAATAGCCCACAGTGCACAGTCTCCAGAAGGGAGGGATTGAAAAGTGACAGTGACTTTGGGAGAGGACTATGGTAAGTGGAATAATGTGCCTGCCAAGAGGTTCATGTCCTAATCCTTGAAACTTGTGAATGTTACCTTATGTGGTAAAGATTTTGCAGATGTGATTAAGTTAGGGATCTGAGATGGAGAAATTATCATGGATTATCTTGGTGCATCCTAAATATAAACACAGGGGTCCTGAGGGAAGGAGACTTGATGAAAAAGAGAAGAGGAGAAAGCAGCAGGAACATGGAGGCAGAGATTAGAATGATGCTGTCACAAGCCAGGGAATTCTGATAGCACCAGAAGCTGGAAGAGGCAAAGAAACAGATTCTCCCCTAGAGCCTCTGGAGGGTGCACAGGCCTGCTGTGACATCTGGACTGTGGCCCAGTGACACTGACTTTTAACTTCTGGGCTTTAGAACTGTGAGAGAATAAATTTCTTCTGTTTTAAGCTAAGTGTGTGATAATTTGTTAAAGCAGCCACGGGAAACAAATACAGGGTCTAATCCTACATTTAAAACATTGGAAATAGCCAGACCAATCATTTTATTAATAACTACATAGTCACTTAGAACAAAGAAGCTGCCTGTGATTCTGAGGAATAGGAACAACTAAACAGAAAATACCACATAAGATTCATTTGTTCAACATAGTGGAGTAGCTGGGCTGAATTTCCAATCATGTAACAATATGTACTATAAAAGGATAGCAATTTTTTTTAATCTATTTGGCTGCAGAGGCTCTTTAGCTGCAGCATGTGGGAATCTAGTTCCCTGACCAGGGATCAAAGCCTGGTTCCCTGCGTTGGCAGTGAGTCTTAGCCACTGGACCACCAGGCAAGTCCCATGGGACGGCAATAAGTTTTTTAAAAGATAGGTTTGAAGAGGGTAACAGAAGTTACAGATCAAGGAAAGCAACTTGGTTGTTCAAGGCAATTGTGCCAGATTAGAGATTATCAGCTGTGAGTCATTAGAAGAAGGGGTCTCTATGCCATGTGGAAAAGGGGTAAATGAAATGGTAATGCTAACAGTACCTATCAAATGCACAGTTTTCAAAGTATTCCACGTGCATAATAATAGCAACCACCCATTGAGTACTAACTAGCTGCTGCATGCATTCATTTAATCCACGTATAACTATTAAGATAGGCATTGTAATACCCACTGTACAAATGGTGAACAAGTTAGGAAACAGACCACAGTGGCAGAACCAGAATTTAGAACCAATGTTTGTTTGCCTCCCAAACCAATCCTCTTTCTGCTGTATTGTCCTGTTTTATTGCATCATTAATTGTCACAAATGCTCTATAAAGTGGTCTGTGAGCTCCATGAAGATAGGGACTGAGTGTCATGTTCACTCCTGGTGATCAATAAATATTCATTAACTGAATGAATGGAACAGGTGAGGCCTAGAGAGAGAAAGTAATTTATCCAAGATCACACAGCCACTATTTGACAGGGCCAGATTCTCTGATTCCACATCCTGTGCACTAAACTGGTTAAGAACCTACAGCATACTGAGCTAGGTGTGCATCTTGGGTGGGGACTGCAGGGAGAGATATAGGACAAATAAGTGAGATAACAGAAGAATCTAATGCTGAGAGCCTACGGGAGTGAAGGTAAATCTAAAGACCATGCCTGGAAGGTGAAAGATTTGAATTGAAGATAATCCAGTAAAGCATTGCTGGATTGAGGACTGGTCTGGGCAAAGACTAAAGTAAATTATATGCAGGGGAATACAGCCAGCCCCCAAATACCATGCCATCAGTCACAAGGGTGTGTGGACACAGGCCAGTGGCAGTTTTGCCTATTAATTGAAGCAGAGTAAGTGATTCCATGTGGTGAAAGTCTTCTGAGCCAAATCGGCAGAGATTCTGCTTGCCTGAAGCTGAACTATCTGCCAAACTTTCCCAAAGTACTGGCTGGACACCCAGACTGGAAATGAGAAACTCAAGAATAATGAGAAGGACTGTGGTGGGAGGTAGGCAAGCTGGAGGACTGAACTGCTGAAGAGTCTGAATGCTAACTGGTTGCTCTTTGTCAGTATAATTCCCTTGTACCCTTACCCTCATTTTTTCTAAGGAAGTGGAAAAGTTTTTACAGGATGCTCAGTTTAAACCAGAGCCTCTTGAGGTAACACAGACAAAAAAAATTGCCACTCCTCTATAATTTTAATAAACACCTATAAGATTCTAGGAAGAAGGCATCAGATTTAGGGTTGCTACTCCTATGCTCAGAAGCAAAGACTGTCCCTTGGTCTCAATTTAAAAGAGGCCTGAAGTAACAGGACAATAACTAATGGCAATTCCATTACAGTGCCCTGTTAACTCTAGGAGTTAAACTAGAAAAAACAATTAGATTCCCTCATGATGCATTTCAAGATAATATGCATTTGTATTCCAAGCACCTAGCAGAGTGCCAGCCCCTTGGTAGCAGTTCAAAATGAAGAACAAAGGGAAACTGATGGGAAATGTATCATTGTGCAAATAAAGCAAAATAGATCTTAAAATTTTCATAGGAATCATTGGTTTTACACTGTTAGGATTTAACAGTGGGAGAAAATATGTGTTCTTCCCAAAGAAATGAACCAATAAACCTGAGAGGATATTTATCATTTTTAAAGTACCCATTATATCTGTCAGGTGCAATATCTCATTTATTGAGACAATTTCTTTTTCCAAAGAAAATCAAAGCTCAGTGAAGTTAAGTCTCTTCCACAGAGACATAGCTGGCAAGTGACAGAGATTTAATCTGGAATTTAATCCAGACTTGTCTGACTCCAAAGCCTTTGTGTGTGCTGTTCTCACTGCACTTTCTCAGGAAGAAAAAAAAGTCATTACTATCTACAAAGAAAACCCTGCAACCTTTCTCTGTACCAAAGAGATAAACTAGAAAGTTAGAGATACCGTCACTTCCAGGTCAAGCAGGACTTAACCATGCAGAGAGAAATGATGTCTCAGAAATTTCAGGCCTGAATTCTGTACTCCACACCCCTTACTATATATTTCTTTTTACACTATAAATCTTGGAACTCAAACTCATGATATCCTGCACTGGTTAAACACAAACAACAAAGAAAATCCTCACAGCCCCCTTTTCAGAAACCCGGGAAATTACGCATCTTTAAAATGAAGATTTCTAAAGGAAATAGGGTTTCTGTCTGGCTCATTTCCACTGAATTTAACATTGAGAGAGCCAAGGCCTGGGATTTATCCTCAGTTCCTGGGCAAGGGCCAGGAAAACAGAGCCAGACAGACAGAGAGGCTGGAGTTGTGTGAGGCTCCACACTTAAAAAGACACCGAAGTAGGGCACTAAGTCATAGGAAGCTGGCAGGGGTCCAAATTTAAAAGCACAATTTACAGGTGGCTTGTGAAAGCCCTGCCTAATTCCCCAGTAAATCTGAAGTTGCACTGGAAATCTCAGAGTGACATAAGTAAGAAAAGAATTTAAAAGTCAAGGTTAAGGAGATAGAGTAAATTAGCCGGGAGCCCAGGAACTGCTGAGATCACAGAAGACTGAGAGGATGTGGCTGAGAAATGTCTTGGTTCTGAGATAAAGGATAGGATCCCACACAATGGGGACTGGTCTGTAAAGGCAGAGAGATGTTAAAGCACTAAGCTACAGGAGGAAGTCCATTTCTAAAGAGGAAAAGATTGGGAAGAAAAGAAGGCTACATCTGTAAAAACGGGTCCCTGGAGAATATAGTAGTAACTCAATAAAGAGGAGGGGTGAGAGGCTTAAACGTGTGTATGAATATGCGCGTCTGTGCGTGTGCGTGTCTGTGTGTGTGTAGCCCTGAAGGAAACTCCCCAAAAGGAAATGCATGTGAGGGCTCTGAGCCAGGAAAAGCGATCCAGAGGACTGTGGGAGCAAAGCTCTCTTACAGAGAGGGTGTCCCGGAGGAGGCCAGACCCCGCAGACTCACCTCGGCCATAGCCCTGCGTGTGTTTGGCGAAGCTTCTCACCACGGCCTCCACGGCCTCCCGCAGTACCACAGGGCTGCCTGCGGCGCCCGGGGGCAGCGGCAGCCCAGGCCCGCTGGGGGTGTGGCGGTGGCAGCCGCGGCCCCAGTCACTCCGGGCCGAAGCGCTCGCAGAGTGCCCCTCCCGCTGGTGCCCACTCCAGGCTGCAGTCGCTGCGCTCGCAAGGTCTCCATCCCGGCCGCCAGTGGAGTAGCGGCCCGGAGGCTGCCAGCCTGGCGAGCTAACGGTCCCAGCCGCCCCCGCCAGCGAGCGCCCAGGGACTGAAGGAGGTGCCGGAGCCCAGCCGTCAGTCAAACGGGGGCGGGGACGAGCCAAGTCCTATGCCAATCACCAGAGATGGGGCGGGAGCTGGCCAGCTGCCCCTCCACAATAGGCAAATTATTGAGGGCGGAGGTTCTGAGCAACCAATTACAAAGAGAAAAAGCGATACCTCTACCCTGGAGAAGCTTAGCTCTGGCGCATCTTTTCGAGTACTAGAAAGCGGGCCAGACTCACAGGGCGAGGCTAGAGGGGGGAAAAAGGGGGGCCTGGATGCATGACTGGGGAGAACTGTAGACAGAATGAGTAGATTCTTAGTCTTGGTCGGATCACTTCATTTCATAGATGTAGATGAGGAAAGTGACTCAGAAAAGTGATATGACTTGTTCAAGATCATATGCAGTTGATAGTGGAGCTAAAGGAAGGAAAGATACTGACATTTAATGAGCACATACTTACTGTACGTCAGACACTATACAATGTACTTTAGTGAATTGTCTTATCTAATAATTGCAATCACTAACTAGATTTTATTATCTTATGGATAAGGAAACTGACAGGCTAGATACATTGTCCAAAATTAAATAGCCAGGAGGTAGCAAAGGAGGGTTTAGACAATAGGTCTTCTGATTTCCAATATTTTAATCTTTTTGTTATAATGCATCGTTGGGTAATTTTCTGATTTCACCAATTCTAAGTTGAAGGAAGAAACAGTAGAATTTCTCCCTTACCTATTGTTATAGCAAGGAAGAGTTAGAGTATAGGAAGAAAACCAGCAAGCTGAAAGGTCCAAGGGGCAAATTAAGACAGGCACCTTTGTTCATAGAACCGTTCAGGCTGGGTTCCTCCAATTACTGTTACTCTTACACACACACTACACACATGCACACACATACACACACCCTTTGTCAGTTGAATATCATACCATTTTTACCTAGGTGGAAGTTATACTATTTCTCTTTCTCCCTCCCTCTCTCTCCACCCAACAGGGCCTTGGAAATCAAGGATAGGTAAACAGAAGAAGTAGAAAAAAAAAAAAAAAAAGGATGAAATGCAGTTGGTGAGATGAAAGTTAGCCCCCCACCAAGGAAAAACTGAGTGGTCAAGAAGCAGGAAGCTTGAAAGAGGGACAGTTAATCTACTGTAATATAGCTGCTGATGGTGAAGGGGGCAGATTCTTTGCAGGAATCTTAAAGAACTTAAGGATGGGCATAGGGGAGACTGAGGGAAATGAAAACCTATCAGATGCCTTAAAATCTTCAAGATATGGGACACTTGCCTCTTCTTCTACAACCACAGTTGGTTTCCTGGAAAGAAGGTGGATGGAGCCTTGAAGAAACCCTTGATCTTTACAGCTATAGTTAGTATCACCCTCCCTCCCTAGTCCTCATCCCCCCACACCCTCCACCCCCAGCAGAAGTGACAAAACAGAGACTTCTGAACACATTTATTTGATAAATCAAGTGGAGAGAGGAATGATTTAAGGTTACTCCCCATGTCAACCTGTGGGGGTGTTCATAAGCTCAGATGGACAGAAGAGCAGCTTAGAGCCCATGACCCACCTCCTGGGAAAATGAAACAACCTGGTGTATTGGTTAGGGGTATGGGGTGGGAAGAAAAAGCTGGAAGCTGAGAAGTAAAGCTGAGAGCAGGAAGGGCAGCAGCAGAACTGAGGCTGGGGATTGCTGCAGGATATTCCCAAGGGGAGTAGAGAAGCTATCCTGAAAAGTGTTTAGGGCTAGAAGCAGGGTGTGAACAAGGAGCCAGGCCTGGATTGAAAAGCAAGACCTGCGGAATGGGGTGGGATATTCACGAAGACGGTAGCATGTCCAAAATCATGAGCAGGCTGTGTTGCAGGGCATACATGGAAAGCAAGGGATTACTATTGCAGGAGGGCAAAGAGATTGGAGATTACCCATAAGTAGGGGCTCCCTAATGCTTCTGAACAAATGCAAGTTGAGTTTGGGACCCTTTGGGGGCCCTAGCACAAGTGGTCCTGTGTGCGCTGTGCCCATGGGCACGAGAAATTCCCATATGCACGGTGAAGTGACGAGGGCATGAATGCATGAGTCTATATGCCCAATAAATAGAGTACTTACCCTTCCCTGCAAAAACGAGTACTGTGCTTGTGGACACATGTTTACCCATGTATGTGTGCCTCGTGCCCATGAGCACATGCAAGAGACCTCTATGTCCATAGTGTGTGTGTGAGAACTGGTTTTCCCACCCGTCCCAAGGTCCTGATCCCCACCCGCCTTGGCTCCTCTCACTCCTCTCAGCGCCCAGGCTCCCCTGGCCCGCCTAGACTCTGGAAGCCCCCTAGCAGGCGGATCTGCTCAGTCTGCATGGAGTGGCGTCTCACCAACTTGCGCTTGGTCCTGGGAGAGCCTGGCGCCCCCGCCTGGGGAGGGGCGGGCAGTGAAGGCGCCCGACCTCCGGGTTGGGGGCGAATGTCGGGGATGGGAGGATGGGGGCTGACATTGAGCGGGGGCAGGAAACCTGGCCGCGTTTGCGCGATGTGGTCCAGGAGCAACGTCCCCGAGCCCCTCCGCTCCAGCAACCCGGGACTCCGCCTCCGCCCGCTCAGCGGAGATACAGCCCCAGGAAGACTCTCCTGGGACTGGCGCGGGGAGGAAACCGAGCCGGCTGGAGGGAGGGTCAGCGGGGAGGCGCTGTATCTGCGGCGCTCCAGGGACGGGCGGCTGCACTCGGGCGAGTCGGGGCAAAGATTTCCGGGAGTATCGAGCTCCACCGACTCCATGCGGCTCAGTTTCTGCCTCAGCCCTGAAGAGGGGCCAGGCTCCTGAGCTTCTGGCGCTGTGTTTCTGCGAGAGAGAGGACCCCCACCCGTCACTTTCTCCGCCCACGGGGGCGGGTCCTCTGGGCCTTCGGTGCTGTGACGTCGGGAAAGACGCGGTCGACCTGTCAGGGTCAGGCCGTTGAATTCGGCGGTCAGGCGGTCGACCCCCGGCCTCCCTTCTGCAGGCGGGACCGGTTGAGGAGGGGCCACTAGGCCCCAGGGCTCGGAGTTGAGCCTTTTGAGGGGTTTTGGAGGATGGCGGGGTGGTTTGGGGAGTGGCTCGGAAGGGGAGGGGTCATCGGGGGGCTTAGGAAGAGGGAATTCAAATACGTCCCTCTTTTCCTCTTCTTCCTGGGCGCGAGGGGATAACAATCCTCGTCCTCCCACTCCTGCAGTCTGCAGTTGGATTTCCGAAGGCGATGTGCAGACCCCCGGGCTAGGAGGAGTGGGAGCGGGGTCCTCCACCCCCGGGGACGGTGGGGAATTGAGATACTGGCGTGTCTTCTTGGTGCCGGAGGGCGAGGTGTCAGTGGTAATGATGATGACCTCCGTGCCCTTGGCCTTGCAGGCGTCCAGCAGCGTGGCAAGGGTCTCGCGATCCCCGCGGTCCAAGGCGTGGACAAGTGCCGAGGCGCCGGCGTGATCTCGGACTGAGGGGTCCGCGCCATGGGCAAGGAGCAGGGAGGCCACCGCGGCGCCCCCGCCGCCCGCGCAAGCGTGCATGAGCGCCGTGCGCCCTAGGCGATCTGCGATGTTGGGGTCCGCGCCTTGCTCCAGAAGGTAGCGTACCATGCGTGCCTTGTTCTGGGGGTCGTCGTACCGGGCCCGACAGGCCGCCATTAGCGCAGTCTCCCCTTGAGCATCACCCTCATTCACGTAGGCGCCCCCCTCCAGAAGCAAACGGGCCAAGCGTAGCTTACCCTGACCCACGGCCCGAAGAAGAGCGTGGCCCTCGGTGTGCAGCATAGCTGCAGCTGGGGAGAAAGCACCGTTGGAGCCGGGATTGGGACCTGCCGAGGACGCCTAGGGGGGTGAGGGTGGTGGCTGGCAGAGGCCTGCGGGCTCAGTGGCGAAGCCAATCCCTGCAAAAAAGAGAAAGGTCTTATTTACTGATTCAGGCAGGGAAACTGAGGCACAGGTGGAAGGACCCGCGTGGGATGGGGGAGATCTCCACGGCATGGCACATAGTCCTTCTTCTAACTCATGCCTCTGAGCCGCCCCCATCCCCCCAGCGCATGCCTGAGGAGATGAGAAGGGTGCACCCGCACTGAAGGACGAGCGCGCGTGCAAACGCGTACGTGCACGCGCAGGGATATCCGCACCCCCACCCTCACCCCACGGCTTATCAGACCTTTCCAGCATCCCCCTTTTCTTATCCGCACTTGGAATCCCCCTTTCTAGGATGTTGAACGCCACCCACCCACACACATGCACCCATACATTCACACACACAGTCCCATTCCTAACCTCTTTTAGGTTGCCACAGCCCCACAGACTGAATGGGGGGAGGGAGGCAGCTTGCGTTTGGGACCTAAAACGGGTGGGGGGGAGAATTGGGGGGTTCTTTTGCCCCTGCTATATACCCCATCACTCCTTGTTCTTTCCCCTCCCAGGTTGTGCACCCAAATAGATACCTGTAAGTCCGCAGAATCTCCTCCGGGCCAGGGCTGAGGCCAGGGCCACGGGGCAGCTGGGGTGGCGGAGCCGGGTTCCTGGGGGCCCACATGGCGTGGGGGTGGGCACTCGGATTCCCTTGGTGTCAGTATCTGCGCCCGGGCACAGAATCCTGGTCCCTCCTCCCGGTGCGCCCCGGGCACAGCGCCGGCTCCGGAGGAGAGAAGCTGGGGGGGGGGGGGGGGCGGAGCTATGCCTCGCTATTTATAGCCTAGTCTCTGCGGGTGGGGGCGTCGGGCACCAAACCATTACCCCACCCATGCACACATAAACCCTCAAAAGCTAGAGGCTCCAATCCTGACTTCCCTTTCTTAGCCCCTCAGTCACAACAAACCTAAATGTTCCTTAAGAGACTCCTCCGCGACCCAGACTGGGACCATCCCAATTCTTCGTCTAGCTTCAACAGATCCCCATTCTCCGCTCTTCGTGCGTTGATGCGCG